ACGCCGGCGATGAAGACACGTTTGCCCACGGCGAACTGGATGCTGTCACAGCGGCCTCGATACCGCCACTGGTTGCTCCTGTAAGCACAGGACTGGAAGCGGTGGCAGCGCTGTGGTGCCAGGCCTTTACGGGGTTTGGTGCAGAACAAGAGTTCGGGCTTCTTGGCAGCGGTGTACCACAGGAAGATGTCGTTGGTCTCATTAAGCGTGAGCACACCAGACTGCGCCGCTCCATTGGCGAAGTCTTCCAGCGCCATGGTGGGGATGCGGATCAGGTAGATGGCTTTCCCCAGCACCAGCCGCTTGTTCTCAATGGTCGGCAGCAGGTCCTGTCGCTGGCACTCGGCCTCGGCCCAGTTCAACGCCGCCTCAAACACCACCATCTCTTTGGCGTTGAGTGTCTCCCGCCGCAGAATGCTCTCCAGCGTCTGGTTGTCGATGTCGCAGAAGCCCTCAGAGCGCAAAGCAAGCTCGGCCTGAGCGTCAATCACCTCCCAGCAGCGCTGTGTCAAGTCGGGCTCCTCGAACAGGCAGCTCTGAGACAGCAGCACGCAGGCGTTCTTAGCGCTCAGACTGGTCTCCAGGAAGTTGACACAGGCCCGGGCCAGGTGAGGCACAATGTACTTTTTGGCAGCGTAGAGGGTGGCGAGCACGGTGTCGGCACACAAGTCGATCTCATCACAGTAGATATACCTGGGCGGCAGAAACCACAGTCACATGGAGACACAGACTTCACCTGAAAGGCTTTGTTTATACTACTACAAATGTGGTGACAACACACCCAGGTGGGTCGACTACCCAATAGACGGCGGAGTGCATTTACAGACACTTACTTCAGCATGGCCAGGAACGAAGGAGGTTCCACGTCAGGGATCCGGATCTCGTCCTGGTCCTCGGCCAGTTCTCCGTAGAACATGGCGTGGAACACGGAGCTGCCGACAGCCAGGACATACTGACAGAGGAGCAGAGGCATGGCGTCAGAGACCAGACTGAGACCGACCGCTGTGTCCGACATCCTGACACGCCCTGACTGTAACCAGCACAAACCTCAGGCTGACAGAACTATAGTTTCCCCACTCGAACACATTCAGACTAAAATATAGAACCAACATGAAACCAAGGCACAGCTTTAATAACCTGTTAAAAAGTTAAAACTTTGAGCTATTATATGATTTTATAATTCTTCTCTAACATTATTTTCTCATGATAACTGTCTGATGCTCACAGTTTTTACAAATTATCGTCCTGAGATAATGAAGCATTTAAATCTTAACCACGTCAAACTGTTTTACTTATTATGAAAATAATCTTTCTGGATGAACGGTATAAAGCACAAGTTAAAAACAGTCAGTAATATCGATTCCTGATGATCACTAGCTGTGCAACTGGAGGTCACTGTCCAATCTGATCCCAGACCCGCAGCAGGTTTTACCTTATGCCCCGGTACCCGCTGCGTCCCGCCGGGTGGCCCGACCACGAAGTGAACATCTGCCATCATCTCATTGTTGAACATGACTGAATTCCTGCAAGGACAAAGAATTCTCCAGCTGTTATTGCTGCATGTACAAAAACTGACTCAGTCACAGGGGAGAAGCCCAAGGTGACAAAAGTGGGAGTCGCCTGCAGCTGACATCCACTGATTTAAACACCAATCCTAAAGGTGACCGAGTCATATTGGAGTATGGAGTTGGAAACTGGGGAAACACATACAAAAGCTCACTTCAACCATTGTACATATTACAAAAAAGAGCCATAAGAATTGTACATAAGATGGGGTATAGGGATCACACCAATGGAGCTTTCATACAGTCTAAATTGTTAAAATTCTTTGATTTAGTGGAATATAAGACTGCTGTGTTTATGTATAAAGCCAGGAACAATTTATTACCTGGTGGAATTCAAAAACTATTTAATGAAAGGGAAGGGGGATACAATTTAAGGAGTCAGTTAAATCTAAAAGTTCATGCTATACGTACAACCAAAAAAAGATTCTGTATTTCTATAAGGGGGGTCAAACTTAAGTCTCTCTTTCACAAATTAGTTCTTGTGTGTTGTGTCAAACTTGTGCAGCTCAGGGATCTCCAGCTCTGGTTGTTCACCTGTTTCTTTACTTAAATGTTTTGGGGTAGTTTACATTCAGCCCGACGACGTCTGTTCTCTGTGGCCGCTCCTCGTTGACTTGGCTGGGAAAGCGCCAACTAAGCGACTCCTTCTCTGACAACAGTATTTTTATTAACTGGTCGTGTCCCCTGTGCTGCTTCTCACCTCTCTCGGATGGTCGGGTACAGGCCCTGCCAGTTGCAGCAGCCCCCGCCGCCGCTGCTGCTGTTGTTGTTGGTCAGGTTCTGCTGCTGGTACTGCTGGATGGACGTGGTGCTGCTCGTTGAGGCGGACGGGACCAGCTTCTTGGTGGGAAACAGCTCCGCAGCCATTATCGTCCAGTCACACAGCAGCTCGGCTCATGGCCCCGGGGCCGCGCTCCGCAGTCTGGGCTGCAGACACGTTGAGTTTTTATTGAGACGCCGACAACAGCAACCAAACTTCATGCAACGTCTGCAGGGTTTTCGCTGAGCTAACGCTAGCGAAGCTAATCACATCGCCAAAGTCACTTTCACCAGTTAGTTTATTAAACAGTACAGCAGTTACACAGTGGGGAACTAAGTTACCCCCGAGTTAAGATACCTACACAGACAAAACACTGCAGTGTAAAATAAAAGTTAACTAGTCACTGTCGGTGTTAACTTTAGCATGTTTATGCTAGTTGGTTAGTTAGCTGACGAACTACGGGGTTCACCGCTCCGTTTACGAGCTGATTCCTCCTTCACCGCGGGGCTGTTTGGTGAATAACACAACTTACACAACTTACTTTAGTGTTGTGTAGAGATCGTTGTGATCATATCTTCTCCACATTAAGCGCTTTGTCAGGCTCAGCTTTGTTTACAGCAGCCAGCTTCTTCTTCTACTGTCGGAGCAGCAGGATCCACTCATTACTGCGACAACACTGCCCCCTGCCGGACACACGCAACAACAACACCGGGCCCCCCACCACCGTCCTACAGTGGAGCCGCAGACTGACACAAAACGACCACAAACAACACAACTGTGACCATTTGCAGCCAGTCTGTGTAACTTTGTAGCTGTTATGCGTCTTTGTGGTTGTTTCGTACCCTCTTTTAAAACCATTGTGTCTTTTAGTGATTTTGTTTGTTTTTGCAGAATCTGTGCTCTTTGAGGTTGTTTAGTCTGTATAGTCATCTTGTCTCTTGTTGTCATTCTTCATCTATTTATAAACATTTCATAAATATTTTATGTCTTTTTCAAGTCATGTGATTGACTTTCCAACAAGAAAGATTAAACAGTTACTCCAAACAGATTCTCTGGCCCAGGGAACCTTCAACCCAAAAGGCTCATTCAGTAATGGCTGGACAAGATGGTAATTCTGCTTGGTTAGTTTGTTGTTTTTAATGAACCTTCCAACCTTCCAATTGTAATGCAGTTAAAAAACCAAATACGCTTTGGGTTCATATTTTACGTATATTTATTAAGTATAATAATATACAGACAGGTTTTCAAAGTGTCTCTTTGTGGTTTTAGTTCATATTAAAAGAAAACGGCTTTGTTGCACACGTTTACAGACAGGTGCAGAGAAAACAGGTCACCATTGACAAGTACATGACACTCCTTTTCTAAAAAATATAATGAATAAAACATATGCATGTTTCAAAGCATCACTGAGACATTAATAAATGTACAATGTGTGATGTTAGAGGCAAATTCACATGAAACCTTTTTAAGTTGACTCTTTCGCACCGTGTGGTGGCAACTTTTATAATAGCACCCCTTAAGTTCTTTAGCTGATGCTTTCATGTCATTGTATGCAGTCATTTGTGTGGTTGTGACCCCCAGACCATTTATTGCATGGTCATAAACCTTTGTATGCCTTGTGGTTGCCAAACCAGATGTGACCTGGGACCAAAGGGCTGGTATCCTGATGTGAATTGTATCCTGTTTCCCTTATCTGAGCATCTGTCTTCTTTGTTGTAGGCTGAGCATAAGAAGGGCAGTCACATTCTGTTCATTGAGCTTCCCTGTAACAAACTGTATTAGACACTCTGTTCAGAGAAACCTCCTTCCTGCAGGAAGAAATATGTAATAACTTTCAGAATTGATGTTAAGTATTTATTTTGCACTCACTGAGCTTTAAAAGATATTTTTTCCACAACAGCCGTCACCTTGTTTAGGGCGAGCTCCAGAGGCAAAACAACCAGCGCTACTAAAAACTGCTATGAATACTAATTATTGCCATAATATTTGTTAGTACTGAACCTCTAATGTTGACACCTAATGATCCTCAGAAGCTTTACATTTTTGTTTGTTGTCCTTTTCCAGGCCTATTTTGTCTTTTATTATACATATTATTGGGCATCGTCTTCTTCCATTCTGAAGTCTCACCAACAAAGTGTAGTATCAGGTGATATCCTGTGGGGGAGGAACCTTGGTGGAGATGTTAAGTGCTGGAGTGAGCGGGGGGGGAGATAATAAAGTGAACACCGGAGAACAGCACTGAGCACATGGTCGTCTGTATTATTGAACCCAGCTACGTCGATATATATAACAAAACCCGAACATGGTGTCAGAAGTGGGATGTGGTGAGTGGCTAGAGGAAAAGTGAAAGTCGAGCCGTGTGAGTTTGTCCTTCTTCCCTTTTGCCTTTTTCCCAAGCGGGGAGCGCACCAAGGTTGGCGCCGAAATGAGTCAGTTTCAAGTTCCGCTGCCAGAAAAGTTCACGTTTAAGGCGGATGACTGGCCAAAATGGATAAAACGCTTTGAAAGATTCCATATAGCCTCTGGTTTGGAAGTACAACCAGATGAAAACCAGGTAAACGCGCTTATCTACTCGATGGGAGAGGAAGCAGAGGACATTCTAGTTTCACTGCATCTACGCCCAGAGGAAGTGATTGACTAAAAAGCGGTGAAAACAAAGCTGGATGTTCACTTCGTGGCCCGCAGGAATGTAATTTTTGAACGAGCAAAGTTCAACCAATGGCAGCAAGAGATCGGGGAGACGATCGATAAATTACACACCGCACTACACTGCCT